GCTGGTAGGAGAGGTGTGCATGCAGTTAGCTATATTGATATTTCCAGAGCGAGTGAATTTTCGAAGTAGATTTACCAGGCAACATATTCGGAAGCGGCCCACCGTCTCGTCCTTTTGTCTTTCTCTCTCCCCACCCCACTCCACCCGCGTCTTCCTCTCCTTCTGGAGAAACTAGGATGTTAAATTTCAAAAAGACACTTAGGATCAGTGAACAAACCTTGCTGCATTACTTTTATGTTTATCAATATTTAGGAGGATATACTCCTTTTAATGATCCTCCACAAGGAGAGGTACTCGTCGGCGGACCAAACATATCACCGGGCTATTGGAAGCAGCCAGAGAAGACAGCTGAAGATTTTGTAACCATTGATGGCGAACGATATTTTGCTACTGGTGATATTGGAGAATTTCGTGAAGATGGCTCATTACGTATCATCGGTCTGCACTCTTTTCCAGTGTTTTTGCTTACATTAAAAAGCAGTTTTGGTACTTCTACATCTTTAAAGTGTTCTCCTTCATTTGGCGGAAATGTGCCAGGTGGGGGAGAGCTCCCAGTTATTTCATGTTTTCAAGGGAATGTGCTAAATCTAATTTCAAAGATTTGTAGAGCTTAAAAACTTAGTCTGCGAAATTCTTGAATGAAAAAACACTTTCTGCCGTGGCTGTGGCACTTGCATGATGAGACCTATGATGTTTTCAGATCGAAAAAAAGATCTGGTAAAATTACAACATGGCGAATACATGTCGTTGGCGAAGATTGAAACCGCGCTTTTGAATTTCCCATTAGTTGATAATATTTGCGTCTACGGTGATCCGCTCTCATCATATCTGATTGCACTCGTCGTGCCGAACCGAAAGCATCTGGGAGAAATTGCTAAGGAAGTAAGTGGATTGTTCTTTAAGGAAACTCTTTGAGAAATAAGCTAGTATGGGATGCTGTTTGAATTCAGGAATACGTAGTTACGCAAGGCTTTTTTTTGGTTTAAGACTCAGTCGTGTAGTTTCAAGTAATCTTAATTGTTTTTCGGCGCTTAAAACACGCCCTTACCATATTTCCTTAAATAGGCTGTCCTCACTAGTTTGCATTTTAGCAAAAAGGGTCCACAGGCTGTCACAGCATTTTTATGCAGTAGCTGAAAAAAAGCAGAGCGAGGATTGAAGAAAAAGTATCGATTACTGCAAATTCAGCAGTATATAGCTAGTTTTTTTGCAACTGCTTGCTCACTCTTTACATCGTTTAAAGATTGATGTGAAACGTTTTATTCTCCCACGCTGGATGTTAAAAAATATTAAAAATGACAGCACGGAATAAATGAGATTAGCTTTACCGGAAAGCTTTTTGCAAATTTCGTTTTATTCGAAGTACGAATTCAAATTTTAGCTGGGTGTTAGCGCGTCGAACTTGACAGAAATGTGCCGAAACAAAGAAATCATCAAGGAATATAAGAAGCGTATGGATGAACACGGCACTAAAAGTAACATTATTTTACGTTTTTTAGTTGGCAGGTTTTTTTTTTTTTCATTCAGAAGGGCGATGGTTCGATTCCGCACTGAGATAGTTAATCCCCCTACGATTCTTTTATTCACTTCGGTAATGAATTTGCACTGGTGACTGCTAGAGAGACGAAATTGCCAGCAGGTTGCATCTAAGTAACCTTGAAGGAGTAAACTGTCAGCAACTGTTTGCTCTTTGTATCTGCTACCAGCCGAGCCACTTTCGAGTGCCCTCTCACGGGGATGGTTGTGAGAGGAACTGAAGGTGGAGAAAGATGGGTTGATTTTCTCAAATTTTCCTCATCTGAATCATGGGAATATCAGTCAGCCTGTTTTGAACTGATTTGATGAAATTTCATTATCAAAAATTTCTGCGAAAAGATTGTTGCTGCTTATTTTATTTCTCGCGAGTTTGCAAAGACCATCCATTTATTGTCGATCTTGGACATTTTTATACGTTTTTTTGCACTTATGCGGTGCAAAAACGTTCTTTTCGGAAAGTTGTCTCTTTGTATCTGTCTGCGCGTGTGTCTCTACCGGATGTATTTGTAACGAGTTTTCATCTGGAGATCTACAAAAGCTAGAGGGCTGAAGTCTTGGCAACTTACGTACGGACTCTGTCCTGATAAGGAACGCCCACGTCCACGTGGTTCTCACTTATGGACATGTGTGAAAGTTTTTTGGCGAAAGGCAACTTCAGGAACGGCGCAAGCTGGAAGGCTGAAACTCCACAAAGATGTTCTTTGGCCGCGTCTAACCCAAAGACCCCTAAATCTCCACTCATCCCTAAATCTCACGTACGTCCACATCAGGGCTTGAATTGGGCATCGTACCAATTCCAGATTTGAGCCGACTAAAAAGTTATAAAAAAA